AACCCTAAATTGTAGTTTCCGTTGTCCTTATATATACCCAATAGAACTCTAAACCCTAAACCCTAAGCCCAAAACCCTAAACTCCGAGCCTAGCACAAAGAGCCGCCCCTCGCACGAGACCGCGGCACAGCGGCCTCGCGGCGAAGGCATTGCTGGAAGCTGCTCCCAGCCTGACTTAGGGTTTAGGGTTAAGGGGTTGGGTTTAGGGTTAGAGGGTTTTGGAAAATGAAATGGGAAGGACCATGGAAAATGACATAGGAACTAAGAGATGTAGGGATGCGTATCTATACATTTCTATATATATATATATGTTTTTGTATATCTATATATATACATGTATATATATATATAGATACAAATATTTTAGGTTGAGAGGGTTTTGGTAACCCCAACCCTGAAAACATCACTAGGTCCATCAACATCATCTGATAGGAACCTAATTTCTAATTTGCAGGGAGGGGGGTTGCCAAGCCCATCTTTTCATTCCAAGAAAATAGCTTTGGCACTCAGGGTTTAATTTCAGCTGTGCGCAGCTTAGGCTTGGAGATTTGGGGTAGAGGGATTTGGGGTTTGCGGCTAAACAGTAACCCTAAACCCTCAAGTTTCAGGATGAAACAGTGCAAGTCTTAAGGCTGCAGCGAGTCCAGGCGTGATCCACATGGGTTTTTCCCTCAATTTGCTATTGCTGTAGTTCCTTTTTGGGTTGCATATTATAATCTCTACCCAACAACCAAAACAGACCCAGAAGAAACTACATAGGAGCCCTTAGGTAGAGCCCTAAAAATCTATAGTGGAGTTCATATGAGCATACGGGTACCCATATAAAATTCCCCACCCCCGCCCCTTTTGGGAAGTGTAATCTAGGCCAACTCTCATAGCGAACCTGCCATGTTGTGTGGAGCTTCAGACTAAAGGCACACGCATCAGGGGATGATTATCACCAAGCTGCAGGTATTTGGCAGGATACAGGTAGGGGGTCTAGGAATTGAAGGGTAAGATCATCAATACCAGAATTATTTCTGTTAGACTTACTATTCTTACCATTACCTAAACCTCAAGAGTATCTAAAATAATGGCCTTCATGGCTGTTATTATGGGTTTAGGGCTATTATTTCACATACTTTTGGTGTTTAGGTAGTATTGTTACCATCATAGTTACTTTTGGCTTCGGGGTGCCCGCGTGAGTTGTTTTGTGGGAGGTCAGGAAGCTGCTGCTGTAGAAGCTGCTCCCGGCTTTGGGTGGCCTAGGGAACCCTACTAACTGGTACTTAGTAGGGAACATGGGAATATATGATATAACGATTATATGGGGACTTAAAATATTTAGGTATTCCCTACTAAGAACCTGTAAGCCTATGCCAGATGCGGGGGGGCCATAGGCAGACAATATGTGTGGGCGACGTATGGGGTTGGAAAAAAAAGAATTGCACCTGCGATGCGTCATGAAAAACCGGGAGCATACCAGGATGACATATAGGGATTGCTTGAGTGGGTTATAAGAACATCAGTACAGACCAGCAAACGGGCACGGAGGCCCGTTCGAGATTTGAATCTTGATAGGCGTTTGACCCCAAAGCCTAAAATCGTCTGCCAGGCGCTAAGCCCTTGACCCCACAAAGCCCTGAGCCTTAATCCCTTCACCCTATGCCCCAGTTATCTACAGTTTAGTAGTCAGCACCCCCTGCCGTAATTATAGATACCACCAATAACCCCCTACACTGAAACCCCAAGACCCTAAACCCTAGATAGTAGCTTCCATGGTCTTTTCCATTATCGCTATATAACCCCAGTATACTAGTAGCTTCCATTTTCTTAGGGTGTACAGGCAAGCTATTGGTTCTTGAGCCTTGAACCCTTTCAGCTGAGCCGCCCCGGGCAGCTGGGTCAAAGCGTTCCACAGCGCTGAGAACGCCCTCCCCGTCATAGCCTGGAGAGGAGTCAGTCACTAACCCAGAGGGTCCAAGTACCCAATACTTAGGTACTCTGGTGTTTTGGGTAGTAGCAATTACAGTACAGGTTTTGGGTAGGTATATGATTATTAGGTACTTAGACCCTTAGGGTAACGATGAATTACGGGTCAGTACTGGGTCGGCTTAGGGGGATTGGGGATTGAAGCTATACACCAAACCTTAGCTGTCTACCAGGCACCCCCCCCCCCAACTACCTGGAGTCCTGGTATTTTCTAAGGATCCTGCGAAGTTTTCCAAGGGAGAGGCTTCTAAGAGTTAATGAACTGATGATGAAGCTCTACGTTCAGTATTTGTACGCCATGCGCCTGCCCAAATGATTGAAGAAATTATGGGAGGCTCCTGCGGAAATGCGACAAACCTTCCTTGCTATCTGAATACCGTGTTCTATCAGCCTGGACATTTAAACCATACCTAGACCTCCCAAATATCAAGAAGATTGGCCCTTAACCCCAAAACAATGTGTACGAGGGCTATTGTTAATGATGTTTGGGAGGTCTGGGCCATCCAAACCTGTTAGGCTTTCGATTCAAAACCCTAAACCCTATAAATGCCTATAAACACTGAAACCTTTATAACCCCTTAAACCATAAACAAGCACCTAACCAAGTACACAGCCCTGGCCTCCGACGCAATAGAGCAAGCCGGCGACAGTAGCCGACGCAGCTCCATGCCTCCGCAGGGCTCCATGTAACCAATGATTAGGTCCCTTGAAAAGGGATGTATATAGGGGTATATGGGGTTTAGGGTTTAGGTTTTAGGGTCCATGTACCCAATAATTAGGTATTTCTATTAGGGTTTAGGTTTTTCGGGTAAAGGGATAATGGAAAAGAACATGGAAACTGCTATAATGGAGTTATGTAGGGTTTAAGGTTTATAGGGTTTAGGGTTTAGGTTTTTAGGGTAAAGGGATAATGGAAAAGAAAATGGAAACTGCCATAATGGAGTTATGTAGGGTTTAGGGTTTAGGATTTAGGGTTTAGGTTTTTAGGGTAAAGGGATAATGGAAAAGAAAATGGAAACTACTATAATGGAGTTATGTAGGGTTTAGGGTTTAGGATTTAGGGTTTAGGTTTTTAGGGTAAAGGAATAATGGAAAAGAAAATGGAAACTACTATAATGGAGTTATGTAGGGTTTAGGGTTTAGGATTTAGGGTTTAGGTTTTTAGGGTAAAGGGATAATGGAAAAGAACATGGAAACTGCTATAATGGAGTTATGTAGGGTTTAGGGTTTAGGATTTAAGGTTTAGGTTTTTAGGGTAAAGGGATAATGGAAAAGAAAATGGAAACTGCTATAATGGAGTTATGTAAGGTTTAGGTAACGGAAAACTGCTACAATGGAGTTATGTAGGGTTTAGGGTTTAGGATTTAGGGTTTAGGGTGTAGAGTTTAGGGCCACAGGGCTAGAGCCATGCACCCCGGCTCCACTTCGACTTTCCGAGGAAGTATACCCCAATCATAGCCAGTAATTTAGGGTTTAGGGTTCAGGGAGTACTTCTAAGCCAGCTACAACCTTATTAGCGGACTTAGGGCGCATATAACGGAATGATATTTGCCCTGAACCCCCAGGTAACCAAGTACGTAATCCTTGCTTTTGTTAAAAGCGCTGCCTGTGGCCCTTGACTGAAGGAATGGCTTCAAGGGTTTAGGGTTTAGTATATTTCAGCTGAAGCTTCATTTATTGAGGTGCTCAGCAATAAGAGTGGGAAGATTCCTGAAGCATCCGTCCTAGAATCACTAACCAAACTGCATATGGCGGTCTCCAGAAATGAGGGGTTCCTTTGCGGGATCACTTAATGCGTATTGTAGTATGTTGAGGTCCACATTAATTGGGTTCCCTTATTCCTGGAATCTACCATATGGATGCCCAAAGCCCAAACCAACTCTGCTGAGAAAGAAGTGTCATGCCCGCAACTCGAATTAAGCCCAATATGGATACATTACCCCAATAATGGAGAATCAAATGGCAAAGACCATGGAAAATGAAATGAAAACTGGGATTATATAGGTGTTATTTGTGTAGTACCCCAATCCCAAAGAACCATAGAACTCAAATCAGACCACACAAAATCAGATCCAAACAGAGCGCGAGCAGAGGAAACGTCTTGTGAAGGATTCACCTCTTCATACTGAACGACCGCCTACCATCGACAACCCTGGACACTCAAAACTCCAGGTCCCACAACCCTAAACCCCTAACCCTAAACCCTAAACCCTAAACCCTAACACTAGGCAGCTTCTTGAAGCCTACTTCCATTCCTCGAAGCCGAATACCCCATTGCCCCCAAAAAGCCGCAAAGCCCCGAACACTAAGAACCTGAACACCCTTCGGCACCGCTTTCAAAATCTTAAACCACCTGGGGGTCGGCATGGGTGGCAAGCTTTCCCAGCTGCCAAGGGCAGGATCGAAGCGCTCGACCTCGACTTTCGCACTTAGACCCTACACCCTAAAACCCTTAACCCCTAAGCCATCAACCCTGAACCATATTGACTCCGTGGGATCTCGAAGTCCTCCAAAAACAGATTCGTCCCAAAATAAGGGACCCCAATATTGACTCCAAAATACTATAATTCCTGCATGGTTATAGGGACCCCTAAACTGGTGCCCCCCAATTTTGGGAAACTTCCATATACGACTTGCACGTTAATACTATAAACTGTTGCTCGTACTTCACGCGCTAAGGAGGGGGGGATGCAGGCAGGGTAGAAAAACAACACAGGTGAAACATCTTGACGCAGATTTCTATGCAAGCAAAGAGCACCTTACTTCAAGGAGAAAACGACCTCTGTGGAATTGAGAAACCTCCTTAATTATTTGGGGGAGAAAGGGGACCTAGCAGTAAAGGTTCCTGTACTTCCTAGGTAGGTCTGCAGGTTTGCTGGAGAGCCTTCAGGGAACCTGGAGTGTAGGGTTCCATGCTTGAGCGAAGTTCTCCTCAAAATGCTAGGTTTCCATGGATTGCTTTTTGATTGCCGAGGTGTCTCCGAACACCCGTGACAGATCATCAGGAAGTCCCCATTCTAGCACGGCTCCCACGAACTTGCGACTGGCGACCGTTATCTGGGTTGCTGTCAAGGACCTTTATTTAAGTTGCCATAATCGGAGCTTATAGTAAGTACTCGGATTTCCTGACTGCAGTAGTTAAATTTAAAAGCCCTCCTTGACATGAACCATTTGAGGAGATTCATGCCTGTGCTGTCATGATTGCACCTGATGCTGCTGCCGATTGCTGCCAGCAGCAGGGTAAACCCGAATCTTCTTGCATATTGTGGCTCTTGATGTCATTGCTACTAGGGTTTATTTAGCGTTTAGGGTTGAGGGTTGAGGGAGTGCTCCGTGATTTGGCACGTGATCTCAACTTCAGCTTTGTTGTCATTAGCTCTGATGTTCCTTCGGGCATCTAACCCCTGTTGTCTGTGCACGCATTTTGGGTTCCGCGTCACTAGCCACGTACATGAGGATCTTAGATGCATGTTCGGTTTTGTCAAGTGCGATGAGTGACCTTCACACAGACATACTGAGGACCCAGAATAGAAACACTTACCTGTCATATGGCCCCTGTACAAGTTCTAAGCCCGACCCCAAGTACCTCCAGGCACTTTCTACCTTGGGAAGTATGGCAGTTGAGCATACTAAGGTCACGCAGGGGTTTTAGTTCGAATCCGCCCTAAACCCTTAGCCCCTAAACTCTGAACCCCTAAAAACTGAGGCCCTAAACGTCCCTACACTGGATTCATGACCAGGGAGCTGTATCCAAGGGAAGCGCACTCTCCTGGGAGAAGCAACGTATATGGTAGTTTCCCGGAATCGGGGACCCCATTACAAACACCAATATACTATAACAAACCCTATATACTACAGTCCTTATTATGGGGACCCCCACAATTGTACCCCTACTTTGATGACAATCCCATGTAAGTTATAAGGATTGGACAGTAGCTGACATCTGAGTTAGTGAGGATTGGGTCAGAGCTCAAGCCTTCTCTCAAAAGCATGCACCTGAAGTACCATCCAAACGCTGTTGAAGGAAGGAAATGAATCAAATATCATAAGATCGGCGCAGGCAATAAGCAAGTTAGAGTGGGGGGCGATTAATGTTTAAGAGCTGCCTCTTCCCATAGGAGAAATCTCACCGGGGTGAAAACGTGTTTCTCATACATGGCACTAAATCAGCATTTTAAGCGGTGCAAAGAGCCCGCCGCTACAAAAGAAGAGATCTTCTCAAGTTTGAGAAGGGTGGGGTGGGCCCACATGTGCAAAGAAATCTGCTATTCAGGGGGCAGGAACAGCAGCAGAATTTGACATCTAGAATTCAACTGCAGCCCTGCGATTGATTTTATGCCTAACTCGGCAAGTCTCGTTGGCTCCGCCGACCACGTAGATCACGCCAACCATTGACCTTTGTCAGAATTGTACGGCCATAGGGATCCAAGTATAGCAGTGATACCTACATTGCGCTGAAAAGTCTACAAATCCTGCCTACATTGGGCTATTTGGATCCCTGAGGCAAGAACAATGAATACGCTGCCCATTTGTAGAAACCCAGCTGCCTGCATCCCACCGTTCCTCAGTCAGTATATGTAGAGTCTTACATTACGTACAGCCCAGGAGTCCACATCTACCACATACGCAGGGGTTTTTAGGCGACAAGCCAGCCATTCCGCATGCCAGCCTCACAGCTTCGGGAAGAATCTCTTGCAAATCTGCAACCCCAAGATTAAAAAAAAAGAGTTTACATACATAGCTGGGCCAAAATTTAGAACCCCAAATACGATCGTCCTTATTCTATAGACCCCCAAAATTTTCCTTTATTTTGTGAACCAGCAAGCCTTTAAGACCTAAATGCAAAATTCATATAGGTCTTGCTCCCAAATGGAGGATCCTTCTAGTATCCTAGAAACATTGAAATTCCAGTTGCCCCGGGGGCTTGAACAATCGCCTTCCAGCCTTACAGCACCCTGAAAGGGACCTGAAGTTGCAAAACTCAAAAAAGCAGCGTTTTTGGTCGTTGTACAGAATTTCTGCTTGTAAAGGACTATACTACACCAATCAAGTGAGGATATCATCTTACCCTCCATGGGGCCCATAGTATCCCTACATAGACTACCACTTACATCAATTTCTTTTGCGCGTCCCAGGGACGCCGCTGAACAGCCATGACGAGGTGTCGGCATCGGGGGGAGCGCTTCCCAGATCCCCGTGACCTCTTCGGATGGCTTGCGGAGTTGAGTCGAGTTCAGGGTTGATAGTCTTTAGGGTTTAGGGGTCACAAGGCTTTTTCAGTTTTGAAAGATTTGGCTTGAGAAGTGTAATTCAAGAATTATACAAGGCTTAATTTGGGGCAGTCAACGAGAAAGAGCATTGCTTGAATGTTTCTTCGTGCTGTCGGACGAGGGTGGGCGCGGCTAGGTAAGTGCATTACGAAACGCTAGTGCAGTGTATAGTCCTAGGGATCCAAGTATACCAATACTACCTACATTTGGCCCGAAAGTCTGTAAATATTACCTACACTGTGCTATTTGGATCCCTGGCGTAACAGCAGGTGTACTGGAGCGTAGAATAATTGCACTTTCAGTCAGCTGTAAGTAAAGTTTTACTTTCATGTGGGGGGTCACCAGCTGGGTACCCTTGCGTAAGGCGCTTAACCTCTTAAGACTATAACGTAACTTTAGTGTCCTCTGACGCTGGCCTGTGGAGCAAGACAACATTCCAAGAATGCGTTCCGGTCATGGCATGCCTTCAAGTCATTGGAAAGTTGACGAGTTGTTTGCAGCACTTAGGTCTTGCAGGCTTGAGGGAGCCAACACACGGACTCATCATACTGTCACAGAACATAAATGGAAAAGACAATGGAAACTGGGTTTAAATGGGATTCATAATGGGGCTTAAAGGGAATAATTACCAATAGCATGGTCCTAGATTCTCTCCAAAAGGCGTGAGAGCCTCAGCCTTAAACCCCCCTCCTCCAGCACACCTTTAACTTTATCTGTCAGGCTCGGGGGGCAGATGTCTTGCAAATAGGGGGACACCAATATCCTAATTCTATGGACCCCCTAATTTACAGAAACCCTCAACCTTATACAGCCCAATAGAACCCCTACATCCCGTTTAAGGGGTGCCCCTAATTTCGGAAACCCCCGAACCCTCAATCCTATACATCCCAAAAGAACCCCTATCTCCCCCTCTAAAGGGTAGAGCTAGTTTGGGGAAACCCCTTGTATAGCCAAGGCGCGGAGTTGAATCTCGAAGCGGCTCCGAGGGTAACCTGACGCAGAAAGTTTTTGCCCTGCTTGGCTGCTTAGTTGGGTTGCTGCTAAGGAACTTAAATTAAGTTGCCTTATAGTGGGTATATAGTAAATCATAACCCTAAACCCTAAACCCTATAGGGCTGGCTTATTATGAGCTATAGTCTGCCCTTAATAACCCCTATAATAGTCTCCTATATAACCCCCCTTACGGAGTTTAGACTATAGCTCTTATAGCATTTAAAAATTACCTAACAGCAACCCAGGCATGGCCAGTTCAAGGTACAGCTTTGCGTAGCAGCAACCGTACTTGTGGGTCTAGGATTTAGGGTTTAGGGGTGTAGGGGTTTAGGGTTTAGAGGTTTAGGGCCCTAAACCTTAAAACCTAAACCCTATTTTTTGTCTCAGTTCAAGCCTTGCTGCCTTGGAATTACTTCTAGACTCAGAGCTCAAGGGTTTGCGTCGAGTTGAGTTGAACTATACTCCCAGTATCCCCCTTAATAAGCCCTGTAATACTTCCCTATAGAATCCCCTATATGACCCCCTTTAGCTCAGTTGGGACTGGAGCCACACTGGCCAGGATCTTTGGGAAATAATTGCTAGCTTTGTTCTCCTAAGGGTCCAAGGACCCAAATCATAGGGTTTTAGGGCCCAAATATCATAATATTAATGGTATTTGGGCCCTAACACCCTATTACTTGGGTCCTTGAACCCTTAGGGTTCATTTCTTACGAAACACGAATGTCATGCATGCTATAGGTAAGGAGAAGGGACTGTAGGATGATACCCACGGGTACCTATTCCATCTTCGGGGATAAGGGTGAGGATTGTTTAGGAACACTCCGACGGGAGGTACCCTGCTCGCCCAAAAGAAATGGAAACCAAAATAGGCTCCTTCTAAACGGATGGCAGCCTTGTAGGATCTCTTGTGGGCCTCCTTGTTAATTCCCAATTGTGGGAAGGTACAACTCCGCACTGCTTCATATTGAGATGCAGTTTTGTCAGGTTGGACCTGGGAAGGCTCTCAACTAAGCTTGTGATGCTTCGGAATGCTGAAGGCTTCACCGCGGACTCCCACATGCTTCAGGGTTGAGTTTCTGCGCCATGGCAGGACCTCGAACTCACAACATGTTCCAAGCTTAAGAAAAAAGTAGACAAGCCGATCTAGTGTGCTCATGTTGCAAGGCACAGTGTCTCAATGTAGACCCCTGATTAATAAACCCCCTCCCCTTAATTGGGATTACAATAGAGATCTTAATATTGAGGCCCTTAAAAGGAGGGGGTGTATTAATCATAGGTCTACATTAGGCTTTTTCTTGAAATGAGACATTCTGCTCAGCATGAAGCCCAAATAACTTCAGGGGCAAGGCTCCGACCCCGGCAGGCCCTTATCCCGAGACTGCTCCATGGAGCAAAAGGTAGGTCACGGCCAATGTAGACCTATTCCCAAATCTGTACCCTGAAGATCCAAATAGCCCAATGTAGGAAATATTTGCAAACTTTATAGGGCCCAATGTAGGTTGTATTGGTATACTTGGATCCGTAGGCTTACAGTAGGTAGAAGCACTCTCACAAGAATGACACCCGAAAGCTGGAAAGCTTGCGGATTGGACTGCTTCCGTTGCCAAGCAGCTCCCGACGCGTGACCGCCGCAGACATAAACCTCACTTGTAGTTTCCGTGTGCTTCAAGAAGCATGGCCTACTGAGGGCAATTATTCAAGTACTTACACACACCCAGAAGCAGGACATGTGCAGCTGGAATTCTGGCCGCGTGGTAGAGTTTATTGCTTCAGGGGCCACGGCAAACATGATTCCGCAGCTTTGCTTTTCAATTCTGTAGCTATACTCAGCGTCTACACGCAACAGAATTTAAGAGCAACATGAGCTATAGTCTAAACTCATAGTATCCTGCTTAATGAGCCCTGTGTTGGTCCACTATATAATCCCCTACATAAGCCGCTTTAAGGAACTTAGGCTATGGTTCACATCATCCTCAATAAAGTTTAGGGCGACCAAGCTAGTGCGGAAACCTCATAGACACGCTCCCTCCCTAAGCTCTACGAATCAATGAACCCTATTCCTCAAAATAATAGGAATAACAATAATAATAGTAGCAGCAACAATAACCCCAATCTCCAACCCCTAAACCCCAAACCCTAAATCCTAAACCCTTCACCCCGAAGGAAGTGCCATCCAGCGTCCCCAGGTGCGCGCAGCGCACGCGGCGAGGAGGCAAGGACTGGCGCGGAGCGGGGGACCTTCCAACCCGAGTCATGACATTCCTCCCCCCATTCCCGGTTTAGGGTTTAGTGTTAATGGTTTAAGGTTTAGGGTTTAGTGTGTAGGGCCAAATATCCAAACGCAGGTGCTTAGAGTCAGGGGGACTTAGTAAGTATGTTAGTAGTAACAGGGACAAGTAAGGTCATTTTCGGGTTTATAGGGTTTTCTAAGTATATACGCTTACTATGTCCCCCTGACCTTTGAAGGAATGCTCATAGAGTTTAGGGTCCAATTTAGGTACTACGATTCCCCTAAAGCGTCCCCTAGTTCACAATTACTTTTATGTAGCTCCTACGTTACGAGGAAGACGTTCTTAGCCTGGAATCAGTAAATGTAGACTCAACAGGCGTCGTTGCATAGTTCTAGATTCCTTGTTGTGATATCTTCTTCTGCCCCTATTGAGGTAATAACTTATCACGTAGTCTCTATGTCAAGGCCTTTAAGGGCTCTAGGGATACATGGGAATCAAGCTACATCTGCCTCCAATAGTCCAAGTAGATCTCCTGCAAACACCAACAAGCGAAGAGAAGATCGCTTTGCTTCTGCCACAAAAGGACCGCACGGCTCTGGCTATTCCAGGCAGTATGCTTTTTTCTCTAGGGGTTTTCCTACAAAAAAGGGCCCATAGGAGTAAGCTCTGCACTTGCTTTGCAACCCTGCAGCCAATGAAGACTTCCAATAGACCCCACTGAGTTACTAAACCCTCCATCCCAAGCGTGGCGCCCCTCAGTAACCTCCTCAAAAGAGCCACCAAACTAGGGCCCCAACGTCAGGACTGCGACTCCCGGCACGGCGGTTGGCGGCCTGCGTGCGCGCAGCAGCCGCCTGATCGATCGCAAGGCTCTGTTTGAAAAGGATCCTAAAGAGCTTCGTGGGATTTAGGTAAACCCCATGCATGCCAAGGCTCATGCCCCGGGTAATTTCCTCGGAGCACTTCTCCTCCGCCGAGGGTTTAGGGTTTGGACCCTAAAATCTTGTAAGCCCCTCCGCCCTACACTCCTACCGCTGCATGTTCTTCCCGTTTGTAACGGCATCTCAAAAAAGTGAAACCCTAAAGTATCCTCCACACAGCCCACATCAAGACTCTATATGGCAGTTTCCCAGAGTAGGGGGACCCCAATGTACACCCCAACATATATCACAACCCCTTTCCCGGGGACACCTAAATGGTACCGAAATGGTACCCCTCCATTTGGGCAGCCCTATAAATCCGATAAATCCCTACATAATCCCAGTTTCCATGTCATTGTCCACTTTCTTTTCCATTTGATTCTCCCTTATTCCTGTATTGCGATTCAGGGTCATAAGGTTTTACGCTGTTTCGGGCCCCGAAACCCTAAACCTAAACTCTATAAACCCCAAACCCCAAACCAAAGCCAATCCAAAACCTCAAACCCTAAACCTAACCCCTGAACCCTAAACTGATTCTGTATAAACCCTTGTGGCCTTCGGAACATGAACAGGTGGGGTCAGCTCCCCGTGGCGCCTTCCGCGCCCACCTGCCAAGTTCGGGATTCGCTGTCTAAGGCTTGGGGTTTAAAGTTTAGGGTTTACCTAGACCCCCAAGTACCCTAAAATAGGGTCTACGTAGCTTCTATTTAGGGATACTCAGGGTCTCCAGAGGGTACTTGGGGGGTCTAGGTACAGTTCAGGGTTCAGGGTATAGGGCTTACGGATCAGGGTTCAGGATTTAGGCTGTATAACCCTAAACCCTAAACCCTACACCCTAAGGATTTAGGGTGTAGGGCTTGGCGTTTAGGGCTTAGTGTGGGGCTTGGGATGGTGTTTTGAGCTTCCGGTGTGGATTTGAGGCTTGGGCTGTCTTAAGTTTGGCTAGGAAAAGGGGCTTCAGAAGGGGGAAGTAGGTTTAGGTTGTAAGGGGTTGCGAAAAATCCTCCATGGCATACGTTTTGAGACCCAAACTCTTTGGGGGTTGTCAAATAAACCTCAAGAGATATTGGTAATAATCTAGGCTTCCATCTACATGCCGTTATATCGCCCCTACACAGAAACCCAGATTACATGTCATGTTCCCTGCTTTATTGCGGTGGTATCCCTCAACCGTATAAAGACCCTATATAACCCCGAAATAATCTCTGCATGACATTAAAGATGATCCCTGATTAGCAGCTAAACCCTGAACCCTAACCCCCAGCCATGCGATTGCTATCAGCTCTTCTTTTGAGGGATTGGGTTCCCAACGTTCGCTTACTAGGCTGTGCATTATTGGACTATTTGATGTGGCTAAGCCTGATCTTGCCTGTTCAGAAGTACATCGCTGAACCGCGACCCTTAAACTGAAAAGTCCCGAGTCCCTAAACTCACGAGCCCTGGCAGCGATTTTCATAAGTTTCTTAGACCTTCCGGATTTCATATGGGAGTTTCTCAAAACGACAACACATCATCCCTGAGCACGATCCCCCAAACTCCTTATAACCGCTTGAGATCATAGGGGCTCCTGTCCATATGCATGTTTCTTAAAAAAGGTATATACAGATTCGATGTTCGAACCGGGATAGCTGTAATCCCACTACAAGGACCCAGGTGAAGCCCCAAACATTTGGGAGCCCTCATATACTTAATACGGGTTTGTAGGGAATACGTGAATAGGAGTCATACCGGGATTACATTCCCTTCTTCCCTGCTGATCCCTAGTAAGTAGATGCACCTAACTTCACTGCCACCCTTGCGCCTCGTGGTGCTACATCATCGAGGCGCTTGCCGTGATCCTAGCGGCTGCACGATGTGTTGAGTGTTGTGGGTGGGCTTCATACCTGGTTTTACATGTTTGCACATAAATTTGGGCCTAGTATGCGGCCTTACAAAAATTTGCGGCATGGCCTCGACTGGTGAGGTTACAAGGGGTGTTGAGTTGAGGAAGCTGTGGAGTTTCCGACGGAAGCTGAGATTTACACTTCGCGGCTTTAGGGTTCATTTTCCCTAGGGGTCCAAGGACCCAAAGAATAGGGCTTTAGGTCCCAAATGCCATTAATAGTATAGTATTTGGGCCCTAAAACCCTACCAGTATTATGTGGGTCCTTGGACGGTCAGGGTTTTGGTTTAGGGTTTATGCCTGGGGGTTGCATGCAAAGGGTTTCTCCAAGGGCTTAGGCAATCTTAGGATTTTCGATCTCGGGGGTGTCATTGCATTTGTCCTAAACCCTACACTCTAAGGCTCCATGCAAATACTATTTATAGGCTTTTGGGGTATGTATTAAGGGCGTTTTAGAACTTAGGGTTTATGTCCAGGGTTTGTACATGATTCCTCGCCGAGATTCTGTTTGGTTTGTTGAGGTTCTCCGCAGGTAGTGTGCGTAACATGCAAGCCTCCTCAACTCACTGAAAAACAGATGCTGAACATAAAGCCAACATATGAAGGACTACCTATTATCAGCAGGACAGGAAGGCGGGTTTTACCATTTGGCGGATGGGATTACCTGCATAATGCGGGAAACTGGAACGAAGGCTCCCATTGGCTTCATCTCAATCATGGATCTTCCTTTCTAATATATGCCACACATACAAGGGTTTGTATAAGGAGTTCCGAAGACAAATTTCCTCATTACAGCAAACGCTTTCATGCTTGCTGAAGTTGGTCTTTCCGGAAGGGGGGACCTGTTATCCTTGTAAGCGGCGTATAAATGGCGTTCCACAAGTTTTGGAAACCCTGAAATCTTGTAGGTAACTCCACTCACGCGACTGCAACAGACTGCCACCCTTACCATTCCGGGATTATCCCACGCGAAGTTGTCAAGACTTACTGGGGTTTAGTATTGGTTTATTAGGAATAATGGAAAAGGAAGATGGAACTAATACACAATAATAGGGTGTGTATATATGTATTGGGCTTAGTACGGAGTAAGGGAATGTACTATATTGGGATTGTATAGGGATTATATTCTCTATTCTCTACTTAACACCGGTAAGAAGCACTATCCCTATACAGGGTCAGGTACCCTATAACATCTTTGTGCAACTTTCGTGGAGTTTTGCGAGATGCGGGGCCCCGAGAACTCCAGGGATCCCGGGATGTAGGTGGATGGGATTACTAGGGATTCTGGGTCCCTGCCAGGACCCTCCTAGTACCGAATCCCACTTGTTGGGGTACATACCCCTCTATAAGAAGCCTGGGAACTGGAACACCAGCATCCCGCTTGCTAGGAAGTAGGAAAATGCTGCAAGTCGAGAAGAAAATCCGATTTCCAGTTCACCCGAAACCCAAAACTCTAGCACCTGAACTGTAAACACAGGCCCTAAACCCAAAAGCCTAAACCATACCTGGACCTAGGACGTCCTTCGCTTTTGGTGCTCTGTCCTATACTTTTCTATGAAGCCCTATGAATCCAAGTATACAAATAATACCTACATTGGGCCCCAAAGCCTGTAAACATTACCTACACTGGGCTATCTGGATCCCTAGGGAAATAACCCTAAACCCTAAACCCTAAACCGTGGGCACAGGTAGACCCTGAAGCCTCGATGATCCGCTCAAGGCGCTCAATCCGAGCAAGGAGGTCGTCCGATGCACCGCCCATGGCTTCCCAGAGAGCGCTTTGTTCGTGCCTTGAAGGGCCCTGAGATTAGCGAATGTGTGCTGTTATTTCATGGTAAGCCTATAGTAGCCTGATGGATAGTGAGCCCTAAACCCTAAACCCTAAATAGTAGTTTCCATTTTATTTTCCATTATCCCAATATAACCCCAATACAACATTAAACACTAAACCCAATGCTTGTCTGTAGGTTTCCATAAATCAGCCTTCAACCTTGACTTCCCGAAGGCTGCTACCTTGCAAGTCGGACATGACCTAACTTGATGCCAGCAAGTCGTAGAAGGTGAGCCTATGATGGCATAGAGTTCAATCCTAAGATGTATCTTCTTTATCACGCTGCCTGGTCTGGAGCTTAGCGGTGTAGAACGCATATGTTGGAGCACTGCTAGCGGATGTTTCGGCTCCGGAAGTGTTAGAAAGTCGTCGCGGCCCTAGGCAGGGCTTTGCCGCTTGTTGGGCTGCAATCTGTGAACATGCGCGTGCGACATTTTGCATATGTGCGGGTGACAATCAACACTATCAACACGGAACTCCTGCCTAAACCCTAGAGAATTTCCATTTCATTTTCCATTGTCCCCATATAACCCCAGTATAACCTTAAACCCTAAATAGTAGTTTCCATTTTATTTTCCATTATCCCAATATGCAGTCCCACCCTCTTTGGCTGGTTGGGAGGTTGCACAGTACCAGGCCGTCACAGGATGTGTAACGCATCCCTGTATGTAGGTATAGCGTAACGTAGTGGCTTCAAAAGGGGCTAGGTTTTGACAGACCCTTACAGCACCTCTACACATGACCTAGAGAAAGCACTGGGAACATAACACAAAACATCAATCTGAGTAGCGCTTTTCTTGTGGTTGAACCTAGTAAGATTATTTTCTTCATACAGCATACTATACCCCAAAAGAAGGATAGAATCTTCCTCTATAATTGGTACCATAGTATCTCCAAATAAAATACTACTCATCTGTGTTTCATCCGTCTGGTAGTCTACAGCAAAAATGCTCTAGGCGGCCCCTTTTGTTGGCAAAGGGATGTCTATTACAGGCGTATGTGCGTTCTCACTGTCAATCCTCCAAGCCTTTCAAGCCGCAACCCTGTAGCTGAAGGCGGGCGTTTCCCGCCTAGTGCCCATCTACAACCCCAAGAAAAAAGCTACAAGTGGTAGTTTCCCAAAATAGAGGGACCCCCATATAGAACCCCAAATACTCTAATCCTTATTATTGGGACCCCCATAGTGGTACCCCTGATTTTGGGAGACCCCCAAGTATCATT